AATAAGAAAAATTCATTGATCCTGTAGCAGAAAATATATCGTTTTTCCAAGGTCGAAAATTGATCGTTCGAAATCTTGCTCATTATGATAACAAAAACTGCAGCTACAAAATAAGCGATCTTATGTAAATTGTAGAGCTTTTCACGCTGCATATAATGGTATTTTTTATTTTTCTGATATAACCTATTAAGTTACTGAGAATTAGAATGCAAAGCGTAGCCATTTAGTCGGCCTCACATACTGATGACGCTGTGCACAAAAATAGTTTTTATCGCATTTTATTATTATGATATTAGTTGAAAAGCGATCAAATGGCACAAAAAAATAGAGCATCATTGTCTCTATCACTACATAAAAAATGAAAATTTATTCGAGCTTTCTATTAAAGAAATAAGATGACGGTGTCACTACCTTTGGGATGTTCTAAGTAATAAGAAAAGTTAATTTTCGTGAGAAATCGATTGTTTTTCTTCGACATAAAGGAGTGTTTTTTAACATTTTTTGCAATCACCTAAGTAGTTACTTGAATAATTTACTTCAAAAATATGCCTTAACATTTTATTTAATATATACATAATTTCATAGAGCTCAACGAGCTCTATCAAACCATGTAAAAATTTGCAACAAAAAACTTTCACTCCATTTTTCAATTACGAGTATCTTAATTTTCTACGTTAAATAAGCATAAAATTTCGGAAAATATCTTAAGTTCGACATGACAAGACCTTCATAACTTTCACTATTTACTACCAGTAAATCCATGTTTTGATGCGCTTTAATTTGGTGCAATACACATTTGTAAAAAGCATTGATACTTTAGATCATAGAGGAGAAACAAAGATTACGTAATACCTTATAGAATGTCTGGATATACTAGAAGAGTTCTCTTTTATAGAAAAAACCACAGTGCATACTTCTAATCTTATTCATAACTTTAACAAAAATTTTGAAAAGTCATTTTAGAATATGAAACATAACATCCAACTACACTCTAAAAAAAATAGGTATCCTAGAAAACCCTTAGAAGGTTTCCGAATTTGTTACTATAGGAAACCCTTTAAGGGTTTTCGAAGAAGGATTTCCGAGGTCTCGGAAACCCACAATGTCCATCGTATCGAAACCTCAAATACTCATTCGGAAACCCAAAACAAAGGTTTCCGAATGGAAAAAAGCTGTAGCTAGCTACTCAGAAAAAAGATGTCATACTGAACCTTTTAAGGTTCTAGATTTGGGTACTCTTTTCCGAACCATTTAAGGTTTAATCAAAAAACTGGTTCTAGCTGGAACCTTCCCTTTTTCTTCCAAAAATGGTTCTAGAGTGGTAAAATGTAGTCCGCCACACTCAATTACTCTAGTACTGGCGAGTACTGCTATAACCAACCGTTAATTTCATATTTAACCCTTTATTTCTATCTCTAAACCTTAATTCTATCCTTAACCCTTAAATCTATCATTAACCCCAATTCCTATCCTTAACCCTTAAACCTATCTTTAACCCTAATTTCTATCCTTAACCCTAATTTCTATCCTTAACCCTAATTTCTATCCTTAACC